GGCTCGCGGTCTTCCTGCGCTTCGTTCCGGATTGAGCGAAACACGGTCCAGCCTTTGTTACGATTTTGTAATAAACGTGTACATTTTTTTAATTTTTGGACATCACATGAGTAAAGATATGTATGTACGATTGTGTATATATTATATATATATATGACATCTATTTTGGGAAAAAAGCCCATAAACCAGCCGTACCTCGTTTTTCGGAGGTGTGCACGGACGCAATACGTGGACAAAACGGGACATTTCTGGAGCTGCTGGACGGGTGGGGGGCGGGGGGGCTGGTGCCCTGCGCTCCTTCACTCCTTCGCTTTCCGAGACGGCAACAGAAACACGAGGTTTGAAGGGCCAGACTTGCAGCGGAACGCGGACATCCATACCCAGGTGAACGACTCGGGATTTGAGGAGAACTGAAGCATTTCATTCTGGCTGTTTTAAACGGCAGCATTTCATAGGAAAATGAAAACCAATAAAAAAAATAACGATAAACAGATCAACCTTGTATTTTCTGACCACGTTCCAGTTTCTTCTCTTTGTAATAAAGTAGAAAGGCTTCTCCTGAACGCGTGTGGAGTCTGATTTCAGGGGCCCTGGAACTAGTTTGAGCTCGTTAATGACTGGTACCCTGTCGATTTGGGTTTAGTTTGAGCCCGTTAATAACTGGTACCCTGTCAGTTTGGCACCTTGATTTTCATTTAATCTAGGAAGCGTTAGAGATTTGCTGGTATCTTTCTGTTTACCAAGAAAATTATTTGGGTTTGAGCACTCATGACAAGGTCAGTGTGTTAAACTTTTGTTTTTGGAAGCCATTTTGTTGAAGTGTGTTCAGCTGTGTTGAGTGTTGTGTTCAGTCTTGTCATTTCAGGTAAGTACTGGGGCTGAAGGATTTCCCAGTTGTTCCCTGTGGTCTCTGTCTTCACATCCCTGGCCTCCAGGGTTCACTTTTCGAACCGTGCCTCATCTTGACTTAAAGGAGGCTGGGCAGTGTGCCTGGCTGAGAAGGAAGCGGTCAGAAAGGCCAGTCCCCTGGGAACCAGTGCGGAGACGCATCAGGTATTCAGAGGAAGAACAGTCTGCTTGTGGTTGAAGGGACTGGCAAAGATCACGGGTACAATGGCGATGACATCAGTTGATGACAAGTCTGTCATGAAGAAATTCCCCCCTCAAAACAAACTTGTAAACACACTATGTAGAACACAAGCATGAAGCTGTCTTTGTAGATGATTTTGACAGGCACACACAGATGTCTATGATGAATGACTTCACAGGCGTTTCCATGACATCGAAGTTCAACTCTTCGTGCTGAATCAGAATTCAGCCGGTGTGGGAGCTGGCCAGCTCGAAGGGCAAAGGCGGTGTGCGGAGATGTCTCGGGGAAGAGCGTGGAATATGAGGTCAGTGCTTATAACCTGTAACAGTAGGTCCGCTGAGCTGAGATCAGGGGATGTTTCTTCAAACATGGCTTGACGTTTCACCCATGTATCTATTTTCAGTTTCAGGGGTTCCCTTGTTTTCAGGGCCTGAGCCTTCATGGCCGATCACTGCCGCCCAAACCCACGAACTGCAGCTGGCTGCCTTATTAATGTGACCGAAATTCTCTGCAGCCCTGGCAGTGCTCAGGATTTCTCTGTAGATCTCACCTCTGCAGCCCTGGCAGTGCTCAGGGTTTCCCTGTAAATCTCACCTCTGCAGCCCTGGCAGTGCTCAGGGTTTCGCTGTAGATCTCACCTCTGCAGCCCTGGCAGTGCTCAGGGTTTCGCTGTAAATCTCACCTCTGCAGCCCTGGCAGTGCTCAGGGTTTCGCTGT